ATCATCTGAATGATTCAAATATGCAGAACCTAAAACTTCAATTTCCCACTTAAAGTTAGCAGTTATCTATATATCATATCTAATCAGTATGAAAGACTATCTGATGGTGACTTCTTCCAGCTATATCATGTCATGTATTATTTTTGACCCATTTTGTAGCACTACACAGGCATTTGGACGTCTATGAAGGGTAACTGTTTGAGAGTGACGCTGGCATGTATGAAACTCTTGTAATGCCAATGAACTTTTGAGTTAATGTTAAAATAATATTCATCCTCAGAAGCGCTACATTGTCCACGCACTCGAGTTTGAAGGCCAGCGAGCTCAAAGTTACAGCGGGCGTCGTACAGAAATGAAGCATGTATCAGAAACTGCTTTTTTCCAAGGTCAGCGGCGCTGCTGGAGCACACCGGCAGCATTATGTAGTGAAGTAAGAGCCATTAAAGTTCTCTTGACATTGAAAAAGCTCTGGCATGCAGAGCCATTTTTATGCTTTTCCAGAGCTTTATAGGCATACCAATAAATCCATTACCACATAAATGCCTCCTCTTACTGCTTTATGAGGGGCCTTGTTTGAATTTTGCATGAAGTTGTAAAGTCAGACTCCAATCACTGTATTGACGTCCGAACCCTTGAATAAGTTTTGGAATGCATTATTCGCCAGAAAGTTTGTGTGATTTGATGGGTATAAAAGCTGAAAGCAGATGAGTATCATCATAGATATCAAATGCAAGTATGGATGATTAATAATAGGTTATGTAATCATGAGTGAGTTTTATACTTTTGGAGTTTTATTAATGAAATAAACTGATTAGGTGCCTAATTTATATACATTTAAATAAATGTATATTCACCACCATTCAAAATGTGTACGTTAGATGTGTCCGGATAGAGCTGCAGAAGATTGTGAATGACTGGGAAAGCTGGTAAACATCAGATGAAGTTCTAATAAAGTTAGTATCAGAACAAAATCATGAAATTACTATCTAGAATGAAATTCTAATAAAATTGATATGTCAAATTGTGTTTTGATTAAATATTTCAAATGAAGTTCTAATAAATTGAATATATAGAATGAAGTTCTAATAAATTAATATCCAGAATGAAGATCTAGTCAAATCAATATCCAGAAGGAAGTTTTAATAAAATTAATATTCTGGATGAAATCCCAATAAAATTAATATCTAGAATGATTTTGTAATAAAATAAATATCCAGAATCAAATTCTAATAAAATTCATATCCAGAATTAAGCTCCAATAAAGTTATATTCAGGAACTATGAAAAAATTAAATAAATATCCGGAATGAAGTACAACTTAATTTAATATTGACAATGAAGTTCTAATAAAATTTATATCCACAATGAAATTCAAATTAAATCTATATTCAGAAATAAATCACAATAAAATTAATATCAAGGATGAAATTCTAAAAAAATTACAATGTAGAATTAAGTTATAATTAATTTGATATCCAAATTAAATTTCTAATAAAATTCATATTCAGAATAAAGTTACAATAAAGTTAACTTTTAAAATGAAGTCCTACTAAAATTACCATCCAGAAGTAAATTATAATAAAATTGATATCAAGAATTAATGGCCATAGAATTAATTTCCAGAATTAAACTGTAATAACATTAGTATGGAATTAACATACAGATATATTTTAATAAAATTAAAATATAATACAATTAAAATAAAATAAATGTAAACATTTAAATAAAATTAAAATATGGACTGAAGTTCCAATCGATGTAATATCAGGAAATAAAATTAATAATACTCACAATGAATGGGTTATATAATTAATGTCTAGATTTATTAACCTGAAATTAACATCCAGAAAGAAGTTTTAATAAAGCTAATATCTAGAATGAATTTCTAATACAATTAATATCTAGAATGAATAATTAAATTAAAATATGTTAAAATTAAAATATAGTTAAAATAAAATGAATATATGAAATGAAGCTCTAATAAAGGTAATATCAGGAATTCAATTAGTAATAACCACCATTAATGGTTCATATAATTAATCTCTACAAATAATAACCTCAAATTATTATCCAGAATAAAATTATATAAGTAACAACAATTACATAAATTAACAACAATTATTAGTATGACTAATACTCATGAGTCTAAACCTTTGCAGTGTTGTGTATTTAGGGTTAAGAAGCCATGTCAGTCATAGCGATACATGTTTTTATCAGGTTTTTTGATTATTTTCCATGAAAACATGAAGATAAAGGTAAAATTACTTTTTGATGGATATATTGATTGATTTATAGGTTTATGTATTGCCACCTCCTGCCTCTGACTCTTTCAGGACCTCATGCTCGGTCTCTTGTTGTCCTCGCCCATGTAAAAGTGTGGCTTCTATAAAACGGTGAAGCTGCAGAGACATTGAGCAGATAGATTACCTTTCCTCCTCCCACAACATCATTCAGCATTAGTTCCACAGACTTCATCCTCACGCTCTGACAGCTCATAGCTGCGACGCGTATTTCGTGTAATTTACTGTGAGGCCGTGGTCAAAAACTGCTGATATTCCTCAGAGCTTATTGAAGCATTATTATTAGATAAGTCTAGCGTGTTGTGTTGCAGCAACAAATCTCCACAACAGTTGCAATTATTATGTAAATTAGTTAATGCATAAAAAATATGACTTTTGTTTCAGTTTATAGCTACATTTCCTGTCACGAAATGAATGACATGCAATGTTGAAATAATACAGTATTGAATTAACACCTGTATGGAGCATCAGTTTAACGCTAACAGTACTAAATAAACAGCTACAGTGCTGAATTAGCGAATTCAAGAATGGATGCCTATGGTGTTGACTGAACATCTAAAGCAGTGAATGCTAATGGTATTAAATTAGTGCCTAATGTTGGATTAGCTGCTACAGTGTTGAATTAACACCTGTAGTGTTCAATGAATGCCCTTTGTATTGAATTAGTGCATATAGCATTGCATGGTCCTGAATTAGTGTTGAATGAGCACACACAGTGTTGAATTAGCACTACTGACACTGAATTAGCAGCTAGAGTGCTGAATTAGCACACAGAAGGGTGAATTAGTGCCTACATTGTTTAATCAACACTTGAGGTGTAAGATTACCATCCCCAGCAGATTAGGTCCTACAGGTTTGAATCAGTACATGGAGCGGTTCAATTAGCGCCACTGATGTTGATTTAATGTCTACAGTGTAGAGTTAGTCCCAACAGCACTAAAGGAACATGGTGTTGAATTAGCACTTGTGTTGAATCACGGAAAAATGGTTGCTAATAATGGCCTTGGACTATCACCTACGGTGTTAAATTAGGGCTTTGAGTGATGAATTAGCACCTACAGTGTAGAATTAGCACACAGCGAGTTGAATTAGCACCTTTAGCATTGAATCAGAAGGTTCAATAATCACTACAGTGCTGAACAAATGTGTTGAATCGGCACCTATACTGTTAGATTAGCTACTTCAGTGTTAAATTCGAAACATACAGTGATACATACAGAACATACAGTGTCAAATTAGCACATAGAGAGTTGAATTAGCACCTTCAGCATTGAATCAGTTTTATAACAACTACAGTGTTAAACAAATGTGTTGAATTAGCACCTATACTGTTAAATTAGCTCCTTCAGTGGTAAATTCAGGCTTATGGTGTTGAATGAGCACCTATGGTATCAAATTAGAACCCACAGAGAGTTGAATAAGCACATGGAGAGTTGAATTAGCACTTTCAGCGTTGAATTAGAACCTATGGTATCAAATTAGTACCCACAGAGAGTTGAATAAGCACATGGAGAGTTGAATTAGCACTTTCAGCGTTGAATTAGAACCTATGGTATCAAATTAGTACCTACAGTGTAGAATTAGCACATGGAGAGTTGAATTAGCACCTTCAGCGTTGAATTAGAACCTATGGTGTCAAATTAGAACCCACAGAGAGTTGAATAAGCACATGGAGAGTTGAATTAGCACTTTCAGCGTTGAATTAGAACCTATGGTATCAAATTAGTACCCACAGAGAGTTGAATAAGCACATTGAGAGTTGAATTAGCATCTTCAGCGTTGAATTAGCACCTATGGTATCAAATTAGAACCCACAGAGAGTTGAATAAGCACATGGAGAGTTGAATTAGCACCTTCAGCATTGAATTAGAACCTATGGTGTCAAATTAGTACCTACAGTGTAGAATTAGCACATGGAGAGTTGAATTAGCACCTTCAGCGTTGAATTAGAACCTGCGTTGAATTAGAACCTATGGTATCAAATTAGAACCCACAGAGAGTTGAATAAGCACAGGGAGAGTTGAATTAGCACCTTCAGCGTTGAATTAGAACCTATGGTATCAAATTAGAACCCACAGAGAGTTGAATAAGCACATGGAGAGTTGAATTAGCACCTTCAGCGTTGAATTAGAACCTATGGTATCAAATTAGAACCCACAGAGAGTTGAATAAGCACATGGAGAGTTGAATTAGCACCTTCAGCGTTGAATTAGAACCTATGGTATCAAATTAGTACCTACAGTGTAGAATTAGCACATGGAGAGTTGAATTAGCACCTTCAGCATTGAATTAGAACCTATGGTATCAAATTAGAACCCACAGAGAGTTGAATAAGCACATGGAGAGTTGAATTAGCACCTTCAGCGTTGAATTAGAAGGTTGATGAGCACATGGAGCGTTTAGTTATTGTCTGTTGTGTTGAATATGGACTTGTGGGGTTTGAATGAACAATCGCACGTAGTACTGAGTGAACAGTTATATTGTCCAGTTAGCACTTAGGCCTACATGCAGCGATGCTTTTGTTCATATAAACGTTAATTTGCTTTTATTATATTCAAAGACTTCATCGGAGCTGAATAAACCAGTTAAGCTGCTTTTGTCACGTTTTAAAGTTGAATAGAGTTGAAGTGACATTGTCAGTGTGGTCACTCACAGTTAACCCAACACTAGAGGTTTTTTCCCCCCCCTGTGGGTCACTCACCGGTCCCGCACGCGCCTTTCTGAATTAGTAGAACGGGCGGCGCGCGGTTCAGCTCGGCCCTCCTATTCTCGGCCTTAAGGCGGCACGCGCTCGGGTACGTCCTGCCGTCGCTGCCGCACACCTCGCCTTGCTCGGCGCACGCGCACTCGGAGCGTCCAGCCGTGTCGCGCGCGCACCTCAGGCCCTCACCGCAGAGCGCGCGCTCGTCGTCGCACGCCTCGCCCTCGCCGGCCGCGCACACCGGGCAGCACGTGCAGGGGTCCTTCACCACGCCAAAGTAGCAGGTGTCCGGCGCGCGCGGGCAGACGGACGGCTCGCACGCGCCCGAGCAGGCGGCCGCGGCTCGGGCGCGCGCCCGGTCTCGTGCGAGCCGTCTCTGTGGCCGCGCTTCACCGAGGTGGCGCGCGGGCAACGAGCAGGCCACGAGGACGCACGTCAGCAGAGTCCAGTTCATCCGCATAATCCACAACATGAAAGCAGGTCAGACTCTCAGGCCGGAGCGCATCGCAGCAGCTCAGCTGAAAGACTCTGTCTGCTCTGTGTGTGTGTGTGAGTGTGAGTTAGTGGGGTTTAAGGAGGAGCTCCAACTTTACACTTTAAGACTGCGACCCCTCTGGCTGCACCACCCAGCCTTCTACACACACTCCCACCTCACACAGTACAGGTCACTGAGCACAGTATATTACACTAATACTCTATATACATATCAGCTCCACTGACCATATAGGAGCACTTTGTAGCTCTACAGTTACAGACTGTAGTCCATCTGTTTCTCTGCAAACTTTATTAGCCTGTTCTTCAGTGGTCAGGACCGCCACAGGACCCCCACAGAACATATTTGAGTGATGGATCATTCTCAGCACTGCAGTGACACTGACGTGGCGGTGGTGTGTTAGTGCGTGTTGTGCTGGTACGAGTGGATCAGACACAGCAGTGCTGCTGGAGTTTTTAAACACTGTGTCCACTCACTGTCCACTCTATTAGACACTCCTACCTTGTCAGTCCACCTTGTAGATGTAAAATCAGAGACGACAGCTCATCTGCTGCTGCAGAGTTTGTGTTGGTCATTCTCTAGACCTAGTTCTTAGTCCAGCAGCGACACTGAGGTGTTTAAAAACTCCAGCAGCACTGCCATGTCTGATCCACTCGCACCAGCGCAACACACACTAACACACCACCACCATGTCAGTGTCTCTGCAGTGCTGAGAATGATCCACCACTGAAATATGCTCTGTGGGGGTCCTGTGGGGGTCCTGACTATCAAAGAACAGGGTAATAAAGTACGCAGAGAAGCAGATGGGCTACAGTCTGTAACTGTAGAACTACAAAGTGCTCCTATGTGGTCAGTGGAGCTGATAAAATGGACAGTGAGAGTAGAAACAAGGAGGTGTTCCTAGTAAAGTGCTCATTGTGTGTATCAATGCTGTATTATGATTAACACCACCTTTATTACAGACTAAAAATGTGTTGTCCATTATACATCAATAACTTTTCCCTCAGTATAAGACAGTGACTTTTTCACTCTTTACCAAGGGTGCCAATAATTATGGAGGGCGCTGTGTGGACACATCTGAATACATGTATGCAAAACACTACACTCAGCGAGTTTGGACCTGTATAAGAAACTGAATGCTGTTCCACAACATAGCTTAGTACATCTAACACCCAGTACAGGGCTAATGCTTACTGCCATTCATCTCAGTGAGTTCAGTGAGCAAAACAACATCCGTTCAGAAGGCAGCCGCAGCTTTTATATAACATTGGAAGACTCTAAGTCTGAATGCTGCCTTTTGTCTGAAGTTTCCACATGGAAACTGGAAACTTGTAGTTGGTTTAAATGAACGGAACCAAGATGCGCCCATTTCGAGATGAAACATCTCTTTGAGCTGGATTTTTCAGCTTGTAGACCGAGTGACCTTCTTCGATTCTTCTATTTTTATCAGAAAACATTCAAAAACATGCATAGATCGTTCGTATCTGAAATATTTTCCTTCATTCTTCTTTCACAGACTGAAGATTCTGTACTTCTGGACTTTTCATAAACTGTTATGCAAAACAGCCTAAGCTTCGTTTTATAGAAAGGCTTGTGGTCAGAATGTTTGAATATTCAAATAGCCAGGAAAGTGTTAATATATTTGAATTTTCCAATATGAAAATTAGCTTTGTCTGAACTCTATGAACCACAAGAGAGCTGTGCAGCTCAAGTAGCCAGAGTATCTAATTGTTTAGTCCAAAGAAGGAAGCATTGAAAGACTACTGCAACCAGCTAAAGGCTACCACATGCTGGACAAGAAGCTCTGTGCTGCCCCCACAGAGGGTTTCTAGTGGTGGGTAGCAGATAGTACACAGTGCAGCTATAGCACATAGGAAGCATTGCAGAAAAAGCACTGATAAACATTCAGCTCAAGTTCTCTTCACACTTGCAAAGATTTAATGGAATTAACTTTCAGCATTATTTAGTGCAGTGATTCCACAGACAGTTCAGATTTTTACTCCATCTATGTGTTGGAAGTTGGAGGAAAAATCTGGATTGTCTAGGAGTCCCTGAGGATCGGTTTGAGAACCACTGTAAATATTTGAAAGTTGATGATGTTATTTTTATTTAAGCTGTATAACACAGCATATTGGAGTTGAAATGAAATAATGAGCTCAAAATGCACACCTTCAGCTTTGATTTGAGGGTATACATTTTGAGGGTATTCATATATAACCCCCCATTTCTGGGGGCAAGTGATTGTACAATCAGCTACTCAGCTGTCCCATGGCCAGGTGTATGTTATTCCCTCATTATTTAACTTACAAGTAAGCAAATAAAAGGTCTGTAGTTGAACTGAAGTGTGGCCTTTGCATTTTTGTGAACTCTCAATATGAAGTCAAAACCATTATAATGCCATCATTATGTGGAAAAATCAAAACAACCTCATCAGAGAGATGAAAACATGATAGGTGTGGCCAAAATCAACTATTTAGTACATTATTCAAAGGAAAGAACATGCCCAGAATTGCCAAAAGGTCCAGAAGAACATAGAAAACAACTGTGGTGCATGACAAAAGAATTCTTTGTCTGGTAAAGAAAAATCCTTTCACAACAGCTGGCCAGATCAAGAACACCCTCCATCAAAAAAAAAAAAAACAGCACAGTTCTGTAATAATGTCTTATGGACAGATGAGCCAAATATTAACTTGTACCAGAATGATGGAAAGAGAAAAGTATGGGGAAGTGAAGGAACTGCTCATGTTCCAAAGCACACCACCTCCTCTGTCAAACATGGTGGAGGTAGTGTTATAGTGTGGGCATGTATGGCTGCCAGTGGAACTGGCTCACTTGTGTTCACTGATGTTCAGCCAGATGCTTTAAAACTCATTGGATGGTGCTACACAGTGGAGATGCATAATGTCTAAAAACATACTGCAAAAGCAACTCAAGACCTTTATAAGACAAAAGTGTGGATTGTTCTTCAATGGTCAAGTCAATCGCCTGCCCTCAGTCCAATCAAGCGTGCATGTCTATGGGTTCTGGTGATGTCTATGGGTTCCAAACTTCAGGCAGTCACTGAGGTATTAAAAATGACAAATTCATTTATGATGGTTATTTTGTCCAATTTCTTTTAGACCCCTAAAAATAGCTGTGTATCTGAAGCCTGTTCTGAGGTCACTTTGGAAACACTGATATGTCAAAGAAAGTGTTATAGTGTCTTTTATATCAGTGCTTCATCTCCTAGAGTGAACACTTTACCTTAGATCCTCCTTTTGCTCTGCATTTTACACCCGTTACCTCAAAATCTCTCTCTGCTAGCTGTAATTGACTGCAAACTTCTGCCGTGTAGTAAATGTCAAAAACATATTGATTTATAATCTCATCTGAAAGGAAAAAATGATAGAATTGTGTCTTTCTTCAAAAGTCTGGCTGAAAGAGGGATGCCAGCTCGGTGTTCGAGTGAGGAACGTTGTAGTTCACCGGCAGTATGACTTACCGTTTTGATCTTTGCTGAAGACAAAAAAGAAAGATGTTGTTTTTGAGGCTCTTCTTTATTCACTCGATATGAAATTGAGGCCTTGAATGCCATAAATTCCATCGTGCTTTCAGAGAGTTTAAAGAAAAATCCTTCTTCCGACCTCACCGCCCTTTAGGAGATACAAAACTGTTCTTCGTCTTACTTTGGAGAGATCTAAGGTTGTGTTTTGCCAGGGTTCAGTCTGAATGAGCTGGTGAAGTGTTTGCCTTCTCTTATGATGACCCTTCACTGTTTTGCTGGACCTTCTGTGCAAACGGCATCATTAGGACCAGACCATTTTTCAGATATGGCAGTTTTTTTTATTTCTCTTGGCTTTCTGGGTGGATTAACACTCGAAAGTGTAATTACTAGGACTGCCAAATGAATGTAAACGAATGTGAATCACCATATTTGTCTTATTTACTCAAATTTGACCCTCAAGAAAGATTTTCTCCACTTAAAAAGCAGTGCAGTTTGTCAAAGCTGTATGAATGGACAAAATAAGCTTCATCAGAATTTATTACTTTCAATGATACAGTAACATTATTTTCATCAACATGAAAATCACTTGATTTTTTCAGTTTTAACACAGTTAACACAGTTAAGTTTTAATTTTCATCCCAGACATTGAGTGAGAGCACCAGTGGCTATATCTTCCAAACAGTGAGTGTATATATCAAATATACAGTCAATAAGTGTATATATCATATATGTAATATATACATTATATGGACAGAAGTATTGGGACACACCTCTTAATCAATGAATTAGGTGTTTCATTCAGTCCCATTGCCACAGGTGCATAAAATCAAGCACCTAGTCATGCAGTCTGCCTTTACAAACATTTGTGAAAGAATGGGTCAAGCCTAAACGTAGCTTAAAAGACTTCAATGGTGCTTTGCAATTAGCCAGTCCAAGACTAGTCTTAATCCATGTCTAGGAAACTGGCCCAGTAGTATTTATTAAGGCCTCTAATGTGTACACAACAAAAAATCAAGCCTAAAAATCTTATAATTCACCCATCTTGCCACTCCTGTTATGAGGTGCTAATTGAGGTGGCCAGAGGTTGCCAGTGTCATCCTAGAATTAAGCATGGCCACCTTTCTGGTCACCCCAGTTATGGGATGCTCATTGTTTTCTTATTACAGTGGAATACATGCATGTGTTGTAGATTACCTTACACAGTGCTATCTGCATGTACCCCTCCAACATGCAGGCGTTTTAAAAAATAAGGTTTAGGCCGAAACCTTCTCAAAACTATCGTAAAACCATGTCTGAGGCAATGTATTCGTAACCACTTAATGTAATAACTTTCTGTGAGGGAGCTTTTAGAGGCATTGAACTCTTCTGATGTCTGGTTCCTATCACTTCCAAGTTTCTGTAGAAACTTTTCACATCAAAGCACTCTGAATGACTTTATTGTACCGTCATTCTTTCCTCTGCACCCTTTTTGAAATCTCCTGCACTGCCTCTGCCAAAGCTTTCAGCCTGGCCTTCAGGGGAAAGTAAACACACAATACAGTGTCATTTGACTTGACTGAGCAGCAGAGGAACTATTGG